TAAATGACATTAATGGCCTGCACTAAGAATATCAAAACAAAAAAAATCGTCATAAGCCATAGTGAAACAGCAGTATGTGTCCAACAAATTAAGTTCGAAAACTGCGCAGAGAACTATAAGAATTGAGCAAGAAGGGGACTACTTGTAAAACATACCTGGGTTTCTTTACTTTGTGTGGACGGCTTATCAGTTTCTGTGGAGTTATCCTGAAAAAAATTAACTAGAATTCTTGCGATCTATTATAGTTCCCTCAGATCTGCTGGAGGAGCAGTTGTATTTGTTCATTTCTGCCTTGTAGATTTGAATAAAGAGACTTCTCAAATTACTTACTATGTAAGGCTGTGGTTTTTCAGTCTGTGTGTTTGTGCTCTCCATGATTCTTGAGGATTCGTCTACGGTCTAAGAAAGTGTATTTACTACTCCTTTAATAAGCCTTCAATGGTGAAGCACACACAGTAACACAGCAAAAGAATTTATTAGATATCTCAGTTGAGCAGAATGTGTACAGCAAGATGATTTCCAAGTGGAACGTATGTGACGAGCAAACTATTGCGGTCTACTTGTAGAAAATACCTGAATCTCCTCATTTCTCGTGATCGGTGCGCTGGTTTCGGTGGAGTTATCCTAAATTTGAAGTTACCATTGATTGAATGAATAAACCTAGTTGCTACTCATTTCTTGACCGAAACCAATTTTGTCATGTACGGTGTTCTAGAAATTTTGGTATGGTATATTAGTCAACATCTTCTTCTGAACTCCCTACAGGTTGCTATGTAGACTTTATTGGCCTACTTTTGGGATGAGTCGTCCTCTTTAGTACACAGACGAATAACTTGCAGCCAAACGCCTCCACTACCCGTTTCTACTACTGAAGTTCATAACCGAAACTGGTCATCGTGCGATCTTAAGGTGAGTCAGTTACCGTATCTTGGTTCGGTCTCAAGAACACCAGCAACAGAGTGGCAATTCGGACTACTGTTTCCAGGTAGTGTTGAGAACCGGATGAAGACACGGTGAGTGGCCCACCTTGCGACTGTATGAGGACCTGTTTTGGTCTCGAATTCAGTAGGGTTGTGGGGGCGTTTTGTCGAGTGCTCACAAACTGCTTCAATTCTTCCAGGCTCTAAAGAAGGCGGTGCCCCCAGAACGTCAGCCAATATAATCTACAAGACAATCTTGTGAACTGTTCAGCAGAAGATATCAATCTACCTATCCTCCTAATGACACAGCTAATGTTACAGATAACATTCCCTTACTCTGTTCTGGATAAGTTAACAGGCGTACATCAAACCGCTCACCAGGTAAGGTTTTGTCCTCTCAGTCTGCGTCTCTATGCTCTCCATGATTTTGGGAGTATCGGAGCTTGTCTGAGAACATGATATTTTGTGGAGTAAATACAGGAAATGAGCGAAAAAAGCGACAACATGCTGAGGAGAAAATGAAAAAAATTTCAAGATGGTATTGTTCGTGCGAGTCTAGAGCGGTCTACTTAAAGAATGTACCTGGGTCTCCTCATTGCGCATGAGTGGTTTGCTGGTTTCGGTAGAGTTATCCTGAAAGAGAATCACAAAAATGATTGCTACGAGTTTCCACATGAAGGATGCTGGTGCAGTAGGTCACTGTTTTTTTCTGTCTCGTAGATCTTTGGTAGACCTTTCAAATCACTTACCAAGTAGGGCTGCGGTCTCTCAGTCTGTGTGTCAGTGCTTTCCAAGGCACTAGAGCTTTCAGCGTCAGTCTGACAACATGACAAACTTATAATTTCCAAGGTTACGTTCAGTAAGTCAATAAAAAAAACAAAAGCAGCACATTTCCAAGGAAATGACAGACTTGCGTTTTGCTGGTAATATTTATAGAAAACTCCAGAAAAAAAACATTAATTTAAATATCACCTGCAAAACGGTGAAGAATTTGAGCAAGACCTATTAAATTTGGGCGCAAGTGTAGCCAAGAAACGGAAACAGCGTATATTTGTGTCCGCTACCGCATACATTACGCGCTGCTCCCGATGTATTAAATGTGTTTACCTGAACTCCGCCAGTGCGAGTTAGCAGTTCATTGGTTTGAGAAAAACCGTCCTGAAATGGAGTAATTCTTTACATTGTCTAATCACGTAGAACTGTTATGGCACAATTCATTAAACCGTAGACGGCTGATGAAGGTCGGTCTCCGTGTCAGCGTTGCTCTGGGTTGCAAAACTTCCACAGATTGTCTGCAAAGTAGAATTTCATCAAAGCAATTGCTACATTTGAAATATTATAGAGCAATCAATTTTTTTGGAGAATCTTGGCATGACACATGGGACTCTTCTAAGACTCATAAGCGTACCTGGACTTCATTGTTGTACATCCGAGCCTCATTGGTCTGCGTGGAATCATCCTATAAGCGAATGCCTTCGAAATATGGAAGTTGTTGCACAGAAATTTGTTACTATAGCAGCACTTGATGGCATGATTGCAAGGTAGCTGGTCCCAAACTATATAACTTCTTCAAGTTGGACGTTTTTACGGATTGTGTTTCGCTATGCACTGGGTGTCTTCGAAAAGGCCTTGTTCTAGCAGGTCTCACGCTCTATTAACTCACTTCGCGTTGCTCTACGCAGATTGTTTTCGCTTTGCTGATAATTATCCCCAGCAGCGAACTGCCGTGGAAATGACTTCCGTGTCGACAATCGTCGACCAAATGTAATGCCTAAGTTTAGTGTAATGTTGGTTTACGGTAGTGCTTTAGATTTGAAGATATGGCAGATTGTTTTCATGTAAAAGTCAGCGAAGATTCATAAGATTCCAGCGCGATGGATATAAGGGAGCCGCCCACGAGATCGAGGCTTTTGGCTCTTGGAGGTTGCTGCCTAGTCAACGTCTTCGAGTTTCGTCCGTTTCATCTACATCGCTACGATTGCGTCCATCGTCGCTGTATTCAACGGAAACTAGTTCATCACGCTATCTACTATTTCATCAATAAAGCTTCGGTTGATTCGTCTGAGGTCACTTGTATTCTACTGGTCGCATT